TTGGGGGTGCCTCCAGCCTCAAGTCTCCAGGAATCTCCACCTTCCATGGCAGTCTGAAAAGTTCCTCTGGAAGTCTAACCCACAGCCTGCCCTCAGCTCACACCCACAGACCAGGAGCAGGCTTCTCTGGGGGAGGGAGGCAGCATGTTGGCAGAACTTCCCGAAAAGGAGTGAGCAGTGAGTGAGTGTGTGTGTGTGTGTGTGTGTGTGTGTGTGTGTGTGTGTGTGTGTGGGCAGGGGCGGGGAGAGGGGTGATTCTTAAAGGGCCACTGCGCAGTTAGCCCCCTAGGCAAGGCCCCTAATGATATATCTAATTAGCAGCCCCTAATTAGCAAACACTCAGGCGTAATTATGAACCCACCGGGATCCCAAGCAGATTCCCCTCCTTCCTCTTGGGCTTTTGGGAGAAACAGGGAAGACCCAGAACGTCAGGAATCCATGTAGCCACATCTAACTGCTTCTTTTGGGGAGGGCAAGAACCCTGGGAAGTTCTCCAGGAAGACCAGGGTCAGCAAACTAGTGTTTGCGGGCCCAGGGGCGGGGTTAGCTAGTCTATTCAACCCCTTTTGCTGCCACCCAGATTTACCCCATCGCTCTCTCTCTCTGGGTCTTGGAAGAGGGACCCAGGAGAGAAAGCACTAGATAAATATTTGTGAAACTCATGGACAAGAGGCCTGAGCACTGTCTGTCTATGGCTGGGGCAGCCACACTTTCTGCTCGGGCTTCCTCCTCTGAGCCTTGAAAGCTAATCTGGGTGTAGACTCAGAGGCAAAAAAGGATCAGGTTGAGTCCAGGAGGAGCAGGCAGGGCAGATGGTGACATCTCAGGGCTTGGAGGCAGGGGCATCCCCAGTCTGGCGGGCTGGTAGCCAGCTGGGTTAGTGGTGAGTGTCTTGTTCAGCCTGGTCTGCCTCTGGGGGATTCTGGGAAGAATCTCCCATCGAGGCAACCACAGCAGAGTGAGGACCCAGGGTGTCTCCTGACAGCTGGGGGCTGCACTGCAGAGTGGGAACACAGAATTCAGAAAACACACACACACACACACACACACACACACACACACGGGACACCGTCTGTCCCGTCCCTCCCTTAACCACACAGTATACACAGGGTTGAGAATTGCAGACAGGTAAACTGAGGCTGGGGAGGGGAAGGAATTGGCCAAGACAGAAGCAGAACAGAACTGTGGTGTCAGAGGCGTGGGGCTCCTAACCCAGTGACCTTTAAAGCCATCTGGAGTTCCCACACGCCTGCCACACAGGGCGGGGACCTTGTGGGCACGCCAAAGCTCACCCCGGCTCTGGCCCAGGTGTTGGCCAGCACCTCGCCCACCTTCCCCAGAGCCTTTCCTGAGGGAAGGGAAGCGCCAGGCTGAGTCTCTCTGTAGAACCCTCAGGAGATCTGCTTTCCCACCCAGCCTTGCAGGTGTGAGGCTGGAGGGATGGAAGTGAGACTTCGGGAAGGACCTGTCTAACCTGACCTTAGAGCAGTGCCCAGGAGTACCAAAGTGTCGCAGAGTTGTCCAAAGAATGAATGGACAAACAGTGAAGGATTCGGGAGTTAGACTTTGCAAGGACTGGTCTAATGTTACTACACAGGTTAGGCTGTAGGCAGGACCAGCCTCAGAATGTCAGGGTTGGGAGGATGGGGAGACCTGGGCTGAGGAGGGGTGAGGAGGACTTGGGGGCACTCCAGGCCCTGGGGGGGGGAGTCCACGCTGCGGGGGATCAGCCTCCTCCAGGTCCCCGTGCATCAGGGGCGGAGACAGAGGTGTGTGGGTGTGAATCGGCTGCAGGCAGAGGGAGAAGAGGGGAGAGACGGAGAGACCCAGGTGCCCAGAAACAGACAGACAGACGCACACCATACACATGGCGCGAGCAGAAAGCCGGCCAGCCAGGACTGGGAGCCAGGGCTCAGGGAGCCCCCCGCACTGGACGACGCAGCGCAGCCTGGGTTCTCGCAGCCCCGGGGCTCCGGGCGGCTACGCTGGGCTCTTACCTGCCTTGCGGCCGGGCCGGTCCCCGCTGGGCCGCCGCGGTGGGCGCCTCCGCCCGAGGAGGAGAGGGAGAAAGAGGGAGAGGAGCCGGGGACTGAGGGAGAGCGGGGAGGAGGGAGGAGAGGGGATGCGAGGAGGGGAGCCGGGGAGGGGCCGGGAGAGGGCGGAGCCCAGGGGAGGGGGCGGGGACAGAGGAGATGGGGGGCGGAGGGAGGAGCCCCGGGGAGGGGGGCTAGACCGGAGCGGTAGGGGAGTACAGCTAGGGAGGAGGGGGGAGGGGGCGGGGACGGAGGAGATGGGGCGGGGGGATCAGCGGAGAAGAGGGTCTAGGTTGAAGGAGGGAGAAGCCGCTGAGGGGAGGGCATGGGACCGGCGAGCAGGGGAAAGGACCACCGGGAGGTGGGAGGGAGGAGATTAAGGAGGGGTAGGATGGGGACAGGGGAGCTGTGGGCTGGAGGACAGAGGCAGATTGGCAGAGGGAGGAGCTGAAGGAGGAGAGAGGGTGGGCACAGGGGAGCTGGGGAAAGGACCACCAGGAGGAAGAGAAGCCAGAGGAAGAGAGGGAGGAGCCAGAGGAGGGCGGGGCTTATGGGAGGGAATGGGGCCTGGGAGCTCCAGCTAGGGAAGCTGCTGAGGGAGGAGCCATTGAGAGGAGGCGTGGTCATGGGAGCTGGGGGCGGGGACACCGAGCTCGGAGGAGGCCTTACAAGAGAGCAGGAGGGAGGAGCCCGGTAGGGGGCGTGGCCAAGGGAGCTAGGGGGCGGGGGAGGGGCCTGACCGTGGGGTTTGCAGGTTGCCCTAGTCTCGGGGTTCAGCACTAGAGGGCCGAGGACAGCGACGGAGGGCTCAAGTGCGTGCACTTGTTTGTGTCATCTCCGGTCCCCCCTGTGATCACACACAAGCAGCATCCCGTCCATACAAGGGCCCAGAGATGCAGTCATCGCTACAAATAGCCACAGGCTGGCAGACCTGGGGGAAGGGGGGGGGCAGGAATGCTGGGCGGCAGCTCTTCCAAGTTCACAGGCTCAGCCTGCTCAGGGAACCTCACAGAAGGCAGGGAACTGCCACCAGAGTGACCAGGTACGACGAGACCCACAATCAAAGCCTCCACCCCGCCAAAACACTCTCCCTAACAGCCCTTGGAGGCAGATGCTATTAACTCCATTTCAACATTTCAAAGGTGGGGAAACTGAGGCAGCAGGTAGGTACTGGAGTGTGGCTCCAGGCTCTGTATCCTTAACCACTGCTGCCTCTGGGCTGAGGACAAGGTAGGAAGGATCAAGGCTATCCGGTGTGGTGACACACATCTCTGATCCCAGCACTCACGGGAGGCTGAGGCAGGAGGATGGTTGAGTTCCAAGCCATCCTCATAACAAGTCCTAGACTCAAAACAAAACGATTTGGGGGTGGGAGTTGAGGATGTGGACCAGCTGGTAGAATGCTTGTCTAACATGCACCAAGCAAGGCCTGGGTTCTGCCCTTGGTACTGTCAAAACCAGGCACGGTGGTGCATGCCCGCAATCCCAGCAATCAGGAGGCAGAGGTGGGAGGATCAGGAGTTAAATGTCACCCTTGGCTAGAGGCCAGCCTGAGCTCCATGAGACCGTCTCAACTCCCCCCTGTAACTGCGAGCATCCTGGGAGTCAGTCCTGAGTCGAGCGTCCTAGGAGTCTGAAGACAAATTCCCCAGCCGGCATGAGGTTGGACACACATAGCTGTACTGTGCCCACCCACCAGCAAGCGTACACCTCCTCAGGATGCATGCACCACACACCGTCACCATCACTATCCTCGCCACCCGTCTCCAGGCTCCCTCCCTCCACAGGACAGGTGACAGGTGCCGGGTGCTGGGCACAAAAAGGTGGTATGGCAGGGAAAGAGGGCAGCCCCTGCCAGGAGCCGGTGCCCGCTGCCAACTCTGGCAGGACACTCTTGGGCCTGCTGCCAGGAGGGGGGAGTTCCAGCTCCCCGAGGCTTCCCACGCCTGCGCCCGGCTTCTTCTAGAGCTTGGAGCCTGGGAAGTTGGGAAGTTGGTATCGGATCTCCCAAGACCTGGAGGCTGCTCAACTTTGCAGTGGAGGAAGGTGGGCAGATGTACAGGTGGACTTCCCTGGTGGGGGAACACATGCCCTTCCAAGGAAGCCCCACTCAGGCCCCACGCCCAGCCTGGATTCACTCTGAAACTTGCCAGACCCACTGACTCCAATTCTTCTCCTTGTCTGGGACTGGGAAGGCAACCCTTCCTCCTTGGCTACCTTCCTCTGGATCTTGGGTTGCAGACTCTGATGGAGCCGGGGGTGGTGGGATGGTGGCAACTGCCTTGTCTCACTCCTCCTGGGCTGTTTAGCTGAGCTGTACCCAATAACCACTTCAGCATGGTCTCTTGGTCTAACTTTGACCCCCCCCCATCCCCATCAGAATCCAAGCTCAATTATCTTCTGCTAGGAGCTAGCCTTGGTTCTTGCCCAGTCTAATCGCTTTTGAGATCACCTCCCCCGGCTGGACCAGTAACGTGACCACTTCTACCTCTGGGCTGAGGGAGTCTGCAGACCCCTTACTGCTTAGCCAGAGATGCTAAAAAGCAACCCAAATCCCCAAAGATTCCCTGAGTCTCCACGGGTTTCGCAGGAGCCCTACCGGAGCCCAAAGCCCCTTCTAGTTAGAGTTCTCACTTCCCTTCACTGTTGATGCCGCGTCTACGCTTTCTCCTTCATCCCCCGTGGAGACAACGAACCCAGAAGCCTCTGGCTCAGGGTGGCCTCAGTGGCATTTGTCTGGCGCCATACTTCCCGAGTTTAGCTCACCAGCGCGGAGAAATGCTCCCCAGCTCTCAAACGTGCAAGCCAACCCCACCCCCTCCATCCTTCCCTCTGGGTCTAATCTTGGACTCTCACTGCGGAGTTCCCCTCCTAAGTTCCTTGGGAGTGAATTCAGCAGAACTTGGCATACAGTAAGTGCTCAATAGATGCTTGCCAGGCAAAGGAAATGAAGACAGCTAGGACAGCTTTTGTCGCTCTGCATGTATAAATAGTCTCCGGGAGATCAATGGCTGATGGGACCACAGGGGTTCTCTGAGAACATCCCCTTTCCAGTGGCTCTGAGGGGTGATGGGTTAGAGTTGCCCAGCGCACCAGGGCGGGTCAGGGACTCCCAGCATCCCTGAGTCCCGGGGAAGCACCCCTTTTCTCAGATGCTTCCCCCACATCAATGACGGACACGAGATGCCCGGGCCCGAGGAGAGGGGTTGCTCAGGAGGCTGGGGGCTCCTCAGGCCTGGGACCCACTCTGTCCCCAAGGCCCTGCTGATGTTTCCTCTGCTCCACTCGATGACGAAGCCTCGTCAAGACCAGCTCGGAGGCCTGGATCAGGCTGTGCTGTGGGAACAAAAGGGGAGCATTAAGTGGAGACAGTGGAGCACAGGCTAGACCATCCTGGGAGGTCAGGGGCTCAGCCACAGCAGGAGGGCCAAGAGTAGACCCGAGGGTGCCGGGTGAGAATGGGTATCCCTGACAGGAGTGGAGGCCGGACTCAGCAGGAGGGGCTCGGCCAATTTCCTGTGGGAATGGCAAAGCCTGGACTTAGATGGAAAGGACTGAGGTTGGAAATCAGTGTGGGAGTGGCTAAAGCGAAAAGGACTTGTGAATTTTGGGATAGCCCTGGCTGCACAGTATGACTCAATCCCCAGCCCACAAGCTGGGTGGACACAGCGCAGTGGGTTTGGTACCAAGTATCACACACACACACACACACACACACACACACACACACACACACACACACACACGCATGCACGCGCGCACGCGCACGCACACACACACACGCACACACGCGCACACACACACGCACGCACACACGCACGCACACACGCACACACGCGCACGCACACACGCACGCACACACGCACACACGCGCACACACACACACGCACGCACGCACGCACGCACACACACACACGAGTAAGTGGGAAGACGGAAGGGAGGAGAGAATACGAAAGTAATCTGTGGGAGAGACAGAGGGCGCCAAGTGACACATGACACTAGAGGATACTTGAGGTTCAGCTGTTAGAGAGAAGCTGAGGTTAGACCACAGTGGGAAGGACAGAGGTGAGACCCTGGCAGCAAGGGAGAGGTCAACAGGGCGAGGACCACATAGAAGTGGAAAGCAGGAGTTGAGGTTAGACCTCAGAGAGGCTCCCTTGGGGCTCGTGAGCTGCCAGCCTACTCAAGGCCCAGTAAGAGACTCCGCCTCAAGGTGATAAGATGGAGGAGACCTGAAGTCCTCTGTGGCCTACAGACAGACAGACAGAGAGACACACTCCTGAAACCCTTCCTGGCCTACACACACACGCACGCACGCACGCACGCACGCACGCACACACGCGCGCGCACCCACGCACGCACGCACCCACGCACACATGCACAGTCAAGCTTGATGTAGAAGTCATGAACTTACCAGCGAGCTGGGGGCCAGATCACATTAACCAGGGAAGACGGGAAGCAAAAGCAGGCTATGGTGGGAAAGGGTAGGCTGTGTCCAAACAGACACATCAAATAAACTGAAGGCGATCAAGACCAGCCTGATGTCTAGCCCTTGGGATGGGGTAGACAACACGAGGAATGACCAACAGAATCTGGAAGAAGTGTCTGGAGACTATGGCCTCAGGTGAGAGTAAAGAATAGAGCATGTAGCATGGCCAGATGGTACAGGCCTATAGTTCCAGCTACTCCCAAGGCTGAGGCAGGAAGGATTGTAAATTCAAGGCCTGCATGGGCTAGAGTAAGAGTCTGTCTCAAAACACCAAGAGCTGGGGGTGTGGCTCAACAAGAGTATCTGCTGAGAATTCCCCAGTGAGGAGCTGGGGGTGTGACTCAGTGGTGGAGCCCCTGCCTAGAACCCAGTGAGGGGCTGGGGTGTGGCTCAGTGGTAGAGCCCCTGCCTAGAATCCCCCAGTGAGGGGCTGGGGTATGACTCAGTGGTAGAGCCCCTGCCTAGAATCCCCCAGTGAGGGGCTGGGGTGTGGCTCAGTGGTAGAGCCCCTGCCTAGAATCCCCCAGTGAGGGGCTGGGGTGTGGTCAGTGGTGGAGTTTTTCCTCTACAAATAAACAAATAAAGGGCGGTACCTGGAGGATGTGCACCCCTTTCAGGGATACCACAACCAGCTCCTGCAGCCCATCCCCAGTCAGGTCCACATGGGCCATGGCCAGCAGAGGGCTGGCGAAGGTCCGACGCCACAGCAGGCGGAAGCCTCTGCTGGCCTCAGGCAGCGCGTGGTACTTATAGCAGAGCAGCTCCTGTGGGCAGAGGGGTCAAGGTCACAGGGGCTGCGGAGGGTCACTGCAGAGGAGTGACAGGCTCATCTCAGGACCCACCTGTCCGTAGGTGGCCACCAGGACTTCTGGCTGCCCATCTAGGTCCACGTCAGTGACCAGGCCACAGAGGACACTGTCGAACTGGTCGCTGCTGGGTAGGAGAAGTTGGTCTTCCAGGCCCTGGTTCAGAAGGTCCCTGAGGGCCCCCACATGGGGGTAAGGGCAGGTCAGATGGCCGGGCCCTGCCGCCTTTTGACTGCAGACTGTAGCTGATGCCTGACTGGCTCCCCCGCCCCCACCCCCAGAGGTCCAGATCCACTTCCCTGGAGCTGAACACCTTTGTCTCCATGCGTGTAACTTTGAAGTCCCCACTCAGGGACCACCTGTCACTCCAGTGCATGGCCTTGGGTCCATCCCGCCGACCCCATCCTGGATGCCCACTGTACTCCCGGGTGCACACCCCCATGGTGGCTCTTGGAGATACAGGTGCCGTGGTCCCTCACCTAGGCACCCGGTGCCTTACAGAGCACGGGCAACTCGGCACCTGCTTTGACATTCCCACCCCCAACCCAGAGTGTGCCGGAGCGGACAGAACTAGCTCACGGCAGCTGATGATGGAGAGTGTGCGTGTGCATGTGCTCGTACTTGAATGAGGGGGGAGGTGGAGTCGGAGAGGTGGGGGTGGGGGGGTGCGGGGGCTGGAGATGTAGTTTAGTTGGTAGAGCGTAGCATGAAGGAAGCCCTGGGTTTAACCCAGCACCACACAGTCGGGCTGTGGTGGCGCACGCCTGGAATCCCAGCACTCAGGGGGCAGAGGCAGGGGGATCTCTGTGAGTTCAAAGGCATCCTTAGAGCCATGTAGCCGGAGGGCAGCCTTGACTTCGGGAGGGGCCGTCTCGCTCCCACCACCAACACACACAAAGATGACCGTCTTTGCAGTTTCACAACTTTGGGTGGCTAAAAAATCTGAGATGGTGGGAATACTGACACTACAGACCTGCCAAGCAGTTCAAGTCTAGGCCTTCCCGACTCAGTGTTCGCTGGCATCCACCCGTGCCAGGGGTCTGGGTATCTTTAAGGGCAGGGAGACGTAACCGCCCTTAACAAGTTTTCTACAAGATCCAGATGTGAGCACTCCCCCCTCCTCCCTGATTACAGCACCCCCTCCTGATCCTACCCACCCCAAGGGTTGACAAGGTTAGACCACACCCACACAGGCACGGGGTTGAATTGCACCCAGAAACCCTCACCAGTATACTGCCGCCGGCTCCAGCATGCTGGCAACAAGCAGACTGTATCCTTCCTGCTGTGGGCTGGCCTCGGTTGCTATGGAGGAGACAGGAGATGGAGGGCCTATGGGGACAGGGTCTACTTTAGCCCGTTCCCTCCTTCAGTGAGAATGAAGGCTGGACCTCAGGACAAAGACCCAAGATCGCGTCTCTCAGGTTAGAGGCCGGACTATGAAATGACTGTTCTAACCTAAAGTTAGAACACCATAGGAGAGACAAAGGTTAGACCGGAGTTGAAGTCTAAGGTTAGACCATGGTATGAGGACGGGGGTGGGGGGGGGGGGTGGGGGTGGGGGGTTGGTTGGGAGACCCCTGTTTAGAAGGCAAAGGGCAGGTCAAGGTGAATGTCAGTATAGGAGAGACCAAGGTCAAGGAACAGGAAGAAGGTAGCACCTGGGGATGCCGTGAGACCATGATTGACAGAACAGCTGTTAGTCAAAGGGAAAGAAGCATGGGGTGGGGGGAGTCAGTGTAAGGTAATATGAGGAATGAAGGTTAGACCACAAAGGGAAAGGCGAAAGTAGAGTAGAAGTTCAAGGCTAGACCACGGAGTGGAGAATGAGGTCGGCAGATAAAAAGAAACGAGCAGAGTCCAATCTGTGGCACGGCTCATGGGCGTCGGGAGGGGCGGCTGGAGGGGCGTCGGGAGGGGCGGCTGGAGGGGCGTCGGGAGGGGCGTGGACTCTCAGGGCGGGGACAGCTGAACCCTCTGAGTTCACCCTCCAGGACCAGAGCAAAGAGCTCACCGTCAGGGCTGCACAGGCTGAACAGGATCACTCGGGAGATGGGCCCATCCTGCAGGACTGTCCATGTCTGCAGGATCTCTGTGTGGAGAGCAGGGGCTCAGGCATCTGTCCCCATCCCTGGGCTCGGCCCCACCCAGCCGGGCCTGACCCTCACCTCGATTCCTCTGGTCGACGTGAGCCACACGCACATAGCCACTCTGGCAGCCCAGAGCTGAGAGGCGCCGGGATGAGCCGGGCAGGTTGCGGACATCAAGCCAGAGGACGCTGGTGGGAGCAGACGGATGGGCGAGCACACCAGTAGGTATCGCAGAGCCCCAGCCCCATTTTGCTTCCCAGGCCCACCCAGGCCCATGCTGAAGCATCAGGACCCTGCAACCTGACTCTCTCGGGGGCCAGTCACTACCTCGCAAGCACACTGAGCCCCCTGTGTTTGCCCTGGGGACATCTGTCCACGAGCAATTTTCTTGAGAACATGCTACCTAGCTGCCTTTTTTCTCTCGTTTAGACAGAGTCTCGTGTAGCCCAGGCTAGTTTTCAATGTCACGATACAGCCAAAGATGAACTTGAACTCCTGACCCTCCTGTCTCTACCACCTTGAGTGCTGAGGTTACAAGTGCCTGGATTTTGTGGTGCTCTGGATTATGGAACCCGGGGCTTTGAAGATCCTAGGCAAGCACTCTAACACCCCAACACGCTTCCTAGTTCCTCTAAGGTCGCCCCTACTGCGTACTGTACTAGAGGGTGGCCTGATCTATCTGGATTCTCTGCAGTCAGGGCCCTGGTCCCTTCTTTGGGTGTAGGGTAGAGGGTGGGTGGGGTCCCCTCCTACCTACTAGTCAGGTTCGTGAGCTCTGGGAAGAGGTTTTCCACGGGCTGCTCTTCGAACTGATGAAGCTCCTCATTCTGGAGGAACGAGACCCACCCCAGGCTCCGGAGTAAGCCAACAGCTTCCCACGCACGGGCCATCACTGCAGTGGGATCCCTGTCAGATGATGCCCAGCCTGCCCACCTCACCTCCTTGTAGAGATGGATGGCTGGATCATTCCCGCTCAGGAGAAAGACGGTCTCCAGCTGGTCTCCAACCTGGACTCTGAAAGCAGAGAAATCTAGAATGTGCTAGGGCCAGAATGGGGTCGAATTCCTCCGGGGATTTAGAAATGCCACTGTCAATTTATTCGGAGATAGGGTTCCATGGACCCCCATGCTGGAGTTGAAGTCACTATGTAGCCACGGCTGACCTTGAACTCCCGATCCTTCTACCTGTACCACGCACCCCTAGCCTGAAATATGTGTTTATAAAAACAAAACAAGCTGGGCGGTGGTGGTCCACGCCTTTAATCCCAGCACTCGGGAGGCAAAGGCAGGCGGATCTCTGTGAGTTCGAGGCCGGGCTGGACCGACAGCCTCCAAAACAATACAGAGAAACCCTGTCTCGTAAAAAACCAAAACAAAACACCAACAACAAAAACAAAACAAAAACAAAATTTTGAAGCTGGACAGTGGTGGCACACACCTTTAGTCCCAGCACTTGGGAGGCAGAGGCAGGTGGATCTCTGTGAGTCTGAGGTCAGCCTGGTCTACAAGGCAAGTTCCAGGAGAGCCAGGACTGTTACACAGAGTAACAAACAAACAAACAAACAAACAAACAAAACGTTGCCGGCACGAACCCTAACATTTAGAGACTAGCATGCCAGCGTGGATTAGTGTTCTGCAGATTTATGTACACTAACCCTTGAGTTCCATGGCTTTGAGATCTCAGAGCAGCCAAGTGAAGATGCTGGGAGACCTGCTCCGACAGCCCTGACTGCTAGAATCTTCACTCTTGGAATGGGCCTGCCAAACCTCACAGCAAGGGCCGATAAGATGACTCAGTGGATAAAGGCAAGTGCCACCATTCCGGATCACCTGGATTCGATCCCCAGAACCACCCACAGAGAGGAAGGAGAGGCCCCAACTCCTTCAGTTTGTTCTCTGACCACCGCCCCCATGCCTAGGGACCCTCTTGCACCCAAGTAAATATAAAAGAATCTATCTCAGGGATCGGGAGACAGAGGCAGGCGGATCTCTGTGAGTCCAAGCCATCCTGGTCTACAGAGTGAGTTCTAAGACAGCCAGGGCACAAGCCTCAGAGGAAGGATCACTCACTCTGCGTGGCACAGCTGGAAAGGCGTGAACTGGAGTTCCAAATTGAGGCAGCTCTCTGCAGAAACGACACAAGCTGAGCCCAGGCGCACCTGCCAGCCCCGCGCACCCTCTCCCCCAGGCTCCACTCACCTGCAATGGAGTCCAGGTTGTACTCTGAGCCAGGCTCATAGTCACAGTAAATGTTAAGAAAAGGACTGCCCTTGTCTCCTGAGTCCTAGGGGTGGAAACTGACCTCAGAGGAGGTAGAGGGGGCGAGAGGCATTTGGAGTACATGCAGGGACTTGGTGGGTATGGACAGGTGGAGGGCGCTGCGGTACCTTTATAAATGTGATGCCCACCACCAGGCCTCGCTTTGGGGGTGACTTGTTGAAGGTGTCGAGGGACACGATCTCTGCATCCACTGCGAGAGGAGTTCAAAGTTCAGCGATCAGGCAGGTCTCCACTCCTGCACCCCTGAATCACACTGACTTCTTACCACTGTAGCAAAAACGTTAGGTCTCCGGGAGTCCTAACCACTGGTACCATGACCTCTGACCACCGAGTACCAGACTGTTAACCTCTATTTTTGAGGAATGAACTCTAACTGCTTGCAGACCCTGACGACCTCTGTATCGGATCCTAATGATTACCAGGGTTTGTTTGTTTGTTTGTTTTCTCTCGAGACAGGGTTTCTCTGTGTAGCCCTGGCTGTCCTGGAACTTGCTCTGTAGACCAAGCTGGCCTCGAACTCACAGAGATCCTCCTGCCTCTGCCTCCCGAGTGCTGGGATTGAAGGCGTGTGCCACCACCGCCCGGTTTTTTGATTGCCACTTTTAACCCTGACCTCGCAACACAGTTAGCAACTCAGTCTTAAGGACTCCTCGATTGCCACCAGAATCCGGTCCCGCCCCGACACCACAGCGCCACGCACCGGGGATGTAGTTGAATTGCAGCTCTTTGGCCACAGGCCGGATTTTCTGTCGGAGGTCTTGGTAGCGGAAGCCGAGCACCTTGCCTTTAAGAGTGGCGGCGAGCAATTCCCCTCGCCCATCGGCTCCTCCTGCCAGTCCGTACACGTTGCTCTGCGACGAGAACCGTGTGAAGCTGTCCTCGCGGAGCGGACAGGGTCCGGCCGCCACGGCCGCTTCCCCCATCCTGGCCCTCTGCGGTCAGTCCCAGCTGGCTTGTTGCTCTCCAGCCTACCAGGGAGCCTCCACTCGCGCACACTGATGACGCCAAGAAGCTGCCGGCGTTGCCCTCTACCAAGATGGCGCCCGGTTTCCAGGCTGGCCGGCCCAGCCAACCTTGCCTTTCTGCGCCTGCGCACTGTTCTTTCCCATTTCAGAGCTAAGGAAAGGGTCTTCCAGAACTTGACATGGGATATGGCGACCGCTCCGGGCCTTTTTTTTTTTTTTTTTTTTTGGTTTTTCGAGACAGGGTTTCTCTGTGATTGTTTTGGAGGCTGTCCTGGAACTCACAGAGATCCGCCTGCCTCTGCCTCCCGAGTGTTGGGATTAAAGACGTGTGCCACCAACGCCCGGCTCCGGGCCTCTTTTTAAGCGGTGTGGGAAGTAGAATAAGAATAACCATGAGCCGGGGAGGCGGGGGTTATGGCGCACGACAGTGAATCCAGCACTTGGGAAGTGGAGGCAGGTGGAACAGGAGTTCAAGGCTATCCTCTGCTACATAGACTTTGGGGTCCCGTCTTGAGTACAGTTTCCAGGCCAGCCTGCCTACATGAGACACCCCCAGGCCCATCTCTCTCTCTCTCTCTCTCTCTCTCTCTCTCTCTCTCTCTCTCTCTCTCTCTCTCTCTCTACACACACACACACACAACCTATTTTCCTTTTGTATAAGCACATTCCACCTGTCAATTTAATTAAAACTCACAATCAAGCTGACGCTGAGGGATATACCTTATCTTTTTTCTTTTTAGAAGACAGGACCTTGCTTCATAGCTTTGGCTGAACTGGCGATTTGCAGATCAGGCTGGGTTCAAACTTGTGACACTCTTCTTACTTCTGTCTGCTAAGTGCTGAGGGCACAGACACGTCTTTGTAAAGTAGGTACTCTTATTTAACTATCTTTAACTTTTACTTGTGTATGTGTTTCTGTATGGGCATGCGCACCATGTCATGTGCTCAGAGAACAACGGAGGGAGTCAGTTCTCTCCACTATGTGGGTCCCAAGGATTTGAACTCAGGTAGCCAGGCTTGGTGGCAAGTACCTTTACCTGCTGAGCCATCTTGCTGGCCCTAAAGTACTTTTAGGTATCTGTTTTACAGGTATGAATAAATTGCCTAAGACCACACAGATAGTAAGCAGCAGCTAGTATTAAATATGAATAAATTATAACTTCGTACTTGAGCAATATCACTTTTAAAACAGTAGAGTGTATTCTTCTCCCGGGGGAAAGATCAGTTAACCTGTCCATCCTGAGACCACCTGCTGTCCAGTGAGAACATCCACAGTGACAGTCTCTGCCCAATCACTCAGACTGCACCTGGTGCCATCACCCCCTTTACAGAGCCCTCACAAACGCCTCTCCAGAACTATGCAAAGAGCTTTACAGGGGATGAGCCTGGAGCCCAGGGAGAGCAGGGGTGCTTCTCAAGGATGGAGATGCAGCCCAGGGAGAGCAGGGGTGCTTCTCAAGGACGGAGATGCAGCCCAGGGAGAGCAGGGGTGCTTCTCAATGACAGAGATGCAGCCCAGGGAGAGCAGGGGTGCTTCTCAAGGACGGAGATGCAGCCCAGGGAGAGCAGGGGTGCTTCTCAAGGACGGAGATGCAGCCCAGGGAGAGCAGGGGTGCTTCTCAATGACGGAGATGCGTGGCAAGCGAGGTGTTCCCAATTTTGAGGCCTTCGGGGGACCTGGATTCGCCACTTCATTGTCACAATCAAACCTCGGCACCTGGAATATATGGCCTGACACAAAGCAGGCTCAGTAAACATGTTACACAAGACAAAAAACAAAGCAAAACAAAACCCATCAACTATGGGCCAGGCAGATGGCTCAGACAGACGGTAAAGGTGCTTGCAGTGTGTAAGCTTCACGGCCTAAGTTCAATCTGGAGAATCCAGATTGACAAAAGCCAGCTGAAGGGGTGCACATCTGTAACCCCAGGACTCTTAGCCGTATACCGAAGACTCTGCCTTGCCCACAGCTTTAATTCTAGTACTTGGGAGATGGAGGTAGGCAGAGCTTTGAGAGTTGAGGCCAGCCTGGTCTACAGCCCAAGTTACATAGAGTGCCTGTCTTTTTTTTTTTTTTTTAAGATTTATTTATTACATATACAGTGTTCTGCCTACATGCCAGAAGAGGACATCAGATTGAATTGCAGATGGTTGTGAGCCACCATGTGGTTGCTGGGAATTGAACTCAGGACCCCTGGAAGAGCAGTCAGTGCTCTTAACCTCTGAGCCATCTCTCCAGCCCGAGTGCCTGTCTTAAATGATACAAAACAAAGGATTGACTGACAATGTCTTCTGACCCCCACAGGTGGGCCACGGCACATGTGCATACACAGACTTACAGACCTCCAACCATGTGGCAGGCCCTTGGCCAATATGCTGTTAGTACTGAGGTCTCACATGGGCAGTCTTTAGATGCAGTGTGGGTATGGACGTAAGGAGTTGGAGAATTCCAGATTCCTTGTTTGGTGAGGAAGAGCTCCTGGCTGGTGGGCCTGGGACTGTGCTCCCTGCTGGCACCCAGCAGCAGTTGTCGTGTGAATTGAGTGAATGGGATGTGAAGGCTGGCGTGGCCTCCCCAATGTCGTGTCTGTGGGATGTAGTGAACGCATCGTGTGCATTCCACGCACATGGGAAGATGGGGCATCTGCTGTCCTGTTCTGTCACTGTTAGTTCCTTGAGACAGGGTCTCCTGCTGAACCTGATACTAGGCTTCTGGCCACTAAGCCCCAGGAACCCTGTCAGTGCCAAACCTTCCTGGGTTACGGGGATGTGTGGTCATGCCAGTGTGAGACTGTGTTTCTCTGTGTAGCTCTGACTGTTCTGGAACTCACCCTGTATACCGGGCTAGCCTCGAACTCAGAGATCCACCTGCCTCTGCCTCCTGAGTTTGGGACTAAGGGTGTGCACCACCATGCCCAGCTATGCCGGTGCTTTTTAATGTGGGTGCTGGGGATCTGAACTTGGGTCCTCATGCTTGGGACGTAAGTGCTTCTACCCTTTGAGCCATCTCTCCAGGCTGTGCAGTTTTTCTTCAGGCTGCTTCTGACTTACATGGCAACTTAAAATCCACGTTCACTTAATTTCCAACCCTACTGTGTGTCTGAGCCAATTATGAAACTTCCAAAACACCAGAAGGGTGGTGACCTCAGTCTAACCACAGAGCAGCAGGGTGGGGCCCTGGCTTGTAGATGGGTCAGTGGTTTGGAAGCAGAGCCAGGGTTGAGACTCAAGACTTGGGAATGGATGGCAGATTCTCACAGGCCTTCTTGGCAATGGTGGATGATGGTCAGTCTCCAGCCTCAGGACCACTCAGAGTTATCAATTGACTGAAGCTGTGGGGGCACTCTTGGAGGGACGGAGGAGCAGAGCAGGATGTCTGGAAGTCCAACTTTTTCTACTGGGCCTGCTTCAGCAGGGCAATCCCACAGGGAGGGCAGCCCTGGCAGAGCCCATGTGGGGTGGAGTGCGGTGTGAAGCTCCTGCCATCTCTTCTCGAAGTGTGGGAGGAGAGGAGTAGGGATGACAATCTCTTTAGCTGATTCTGAGGCTCGGCTGGAGAAACATGTACTCCCCACAGGACAGTCAGGGGCCAACGGGGAGGACACCACAGGCAGAAGGGACAGCAGAAGAGACTCATGCAAAAGTGGCAGGTTTTTATTGTCTTTTTTGGGCTGGTTGCAGCTTCAGGTCAAGACAGACCTGGATGCCGGGTAAGAAGCAGGCGTGGGGCCCTGTGTGTTCCAGGGCTGGGTCTAACCTGAGAGGCTGCCATTGTAGGGGCAGGGGTAGGGATCACCACCAGCCAGGAAGAGCAGGTCTCAGGGCTACCTGTGTTCTTAGCTCTGCTGGGGGACACGGTAGGGGAGACAGAAAAAGCCTTAGCACACAGCTGGTAAGGAGATGGGACCGGAGGCTGACCCCAGGTTCCTGCTGCACACAGAGAGGTCTGTATTGGAGAGTCCGTCCAGGTGGTTTCCAGGGCAGGAAGACACCTTTGGGGGCTTAAATAAATGGCAGGGTGAGGGATGCAGCGGGCATTGGGTGACCAGCCAGCCAGCAGAGCCCGTCTGGCGCCCTGGCAGATGTGGCCCGCGCTGCACCCCCTCGGCCCTCATACTCTGTGACTGACAGATGGGTGGAAGGCGGTGGCTGGAGGAGGCCTAGCGCAAGTCCTCCTCATCACCCTGGATGGTCTTTTTGATGCGCAGCAGCATGGTGGTGAGCCACTGGTCCAGCCTAGAGATGGAGTCGTATTCCTTCACCTGTAGCCCGGGGAGGGTGATCTGTGACACACTGCTCCCTCCCTGGCCCCAGTCCCACCCTGTCACCTCAGTCTGCAAAGCCTGGAGCGTAAGCTGGCAGGAAAAGCCTTTGTTGCTTAAAAGACCCTCCCAGCCATCTTGGCTTTCCAGATGGAACTGAAGTTTGGAGGCACGAAAACGTTGCCTCTCACACCCCTATACCAGACGGGATAGGACAGCCTGACCTCTGCCCTCAGCCAGACCCAGGGAGAGATGTCACTGCTAAGTACTGGCTAGGGAACCCGGATAGGCCACAACTGGAAACAAATGGCTTTCCGGAGTGTTCAGAGCAGAGTGGGAATGGGAACCAACCCTCCATGGCAGCTGGGTGCAGAGGAGCAGAGGAAGGGAACAGACAGCCTCGCTGCCGCCCCCAGGGGCTCTGAGGAGGTAGGAAGACTTCGATTTTGGGGGGCAGAGATGGACTGAAATACCAAAGGACCAGGGCAAGTCCCAGTCTCTCCTCAGCTTTTGTGATACTATGTATAAAGTGGGGCGAACACTGAGTGTTCTGGGGTGAGGCACCAGGAAGAGAACTGCAACCAGGGCCCAGGACCTAGAGTTCAACTAGGGCAGAATTTACGAGAACACACTGGAGGAGATCCACCGGCCAGAACCCGTGCCAGCCACTCACCGATTCTGTGTAGCTGTCCACATTCTGTTCCTCATGGGCTTCCAGCAGTTTCTGCAAACACGGTCAGGGTCAGTAGACCCAGCGGGTTCTACGGGAACCCTGGCTCCTGACCACGCCCACCATCACTGCATTTACTGGTGTCATGCAGAAAACAGCAGAACGGCAGGAGAACACCAAACCACATGCAGCCCTTTGAGAATGTCTCTAAACAGTGTGGCGGTTCCTCTGGCTGAGGCCAGGCACCCAGACACCCCTGCCCATCCTATCCCCAGGTCAGGGCGAGCCAGAGTCAGCACTCACTTTCATCAGCTTGCATTCCCGGGAATCCGAGAAGGCCGGGAACAGCTCCTCATACTTTTGAACAGCAAGCTGAGCAATGGAGAGAGGGTGAGAACACTAACACAGACAGCGGCGGCGCTGAAAACACGCATGGCAGCTCTGACTTGGTGCTCTGTGCCCTGCCAGGGTCACCTGACCTGTGACTGATGGTGCCATCGCCAACTCAGCTGAATCGGGTTGGCAGAGATGACTGCAGGAAGGGGGCAGGCTTCCCAGGCAGGGGGGAGGGGAAGGTGACAAAAGAGCTCCCCACACTAGGCCTACAGCTGGGCCTTCGCACACAGAACCCGGGTGAGGACCTTGGGTGGGTTAAGTGACAGTGGGTGGGTGGGTGTGTCAGGGGACACAGGGTTGGACCTGTCCCGAAAAAACCCACTCCCGTGCTCGTAACTCAGTGAGGGGTGGGGATATGGCTCAGTGGGAGCGCTTGCATAGGTTACATGAGGCCTCAGGCTCCATCTCCACCACAAAAACTAAAAACAGCAAACTGTTTCACCTCCCCCAAATGCAAAGCTGCCAGCTGTACGCAGGCAAAGGGGGGCGACTGCGGAGCAGGCAGACATCACGTAGCCCCAGTGGTCTGATCAGGAAGCACCAGAGGACTGAAATACCAACACCCAGCTTCCGGATCCTTCCACCAGCCACTGCCCTCCCTGTCCCTGACCTCTCCTGCCAGGAAGCACTGAAAACCAGAGGGTAGGCATAGGGCCACAGTCAAAGCCAAGCCACCAGGAATCCCAGGGCCTGGCAGGAACTGAGTGCCTTGGCCTCAGCAGCTCCCACATGACAACTGAACGGGATAGTCAGGTCTTATAGTAACCCGCGACGGGGAGAGGCCAGCAAGGAGCCAGCCAGCAGCTGGGAACTCACAGAAGCATCCAGGCCTAGGCGGGACGCCAGGGCGAATAACACCAATGCCAAATTATTTCCCATCCTAACCAAAGGGCAGGGGCCAAGTGGAGACACTGTCCTCTGACGCTCACAAGTGACGTGGTCTGTGGGGGCGGCCTGGCCGGTGTGGGCTCACCTTGGCGTTGAGCATGTCTATGCAGAAGTGGCAGAGGGCCGCCTTGAAGAAGTAGTCTTTGGCGCTGTACTTGAGGAGGGGACTGTCCATGGCGCTGGTCCCTACCTATGGCCACACACCACCATGAGCTCAGGCAGGCGACTCAAGGGAGAAGGTCACTAGCACTCATGCCTGCTAGGAGCTAAGTCTGCATCCCAGGGGGAGGCCCGGGGACCTCAGGCTGATAGTGATCAGGGACAGCTCAGCAAGGTCACCAAGTGTTGCCAGAATGACCAGGACACCGTGAGGGTGTGGGTGGGTGGAGGAGGGGAAGCCAGGTGTCTGTGGGTCTCACAGGCAACCAAGTCAGTGGGGGAGGAGGCACCACTGCCAGCCATCCAGGAAACTGGCACTTGGTGGGCAGCGGGTGGCAGCTGTGGGAGTATGAGAAACAGTGCCCGCCCCTCTCCCCGGGCCAGCTGCCTGCCTGTCTTCTGGCCACAGCCCGCCCTCCCCACAAGCAGTGTCACCGGGGCAGGGCGTATGACACCTGCTGCTAACCATGAGCAGGGAGACCCCGCCCTGCTGGTCCTCTCCCGCCTGCCCCACTTTTTCTGCTGAGGACACCCAGCTCCGAGGCAGCTCCTGTCAGGAGGAGTGACAGGACCAACCCATCTAGGACAAGGTGGTGACATGCACAGCCTGCTGGTGAAGAAGCACTTGGTGGCGGTGGCCTGGGAGAGAGAGGAGACGACGGGGCAGGGTGGGCAGAGGGGGTGGCGGCAGCCGATGACAGCCAGGCAGAAGGAAGCTCACCTGCTCATAGATGTCGATGGCCTTCTGGTACTGCTCCAGCTGCGCGGCGTAGCCGGCCACCTTCAGCAGACACTTGTTGGCTGAGCTGTGGGGGGGAGGAGCATGAAGGGACAGTGGCGGGCCCCACAAGGAGGGGCAGGCTGGGGAGGGGCTACCTGTTGGACTCTTCGCCTTTGTAGTAGTCTGCAGACTGCTCATAGTGGGCGATGGCCTGAGGAGACGAGAAGGGGGCACCTTGAGAGCAGGACAGGGTGGAGCAACTCCTTGGCACAGCTTCCCGGCCTTCTGCCGGCACACGGCAGGGGCCCTCCTCCCACTGAGCATCACGGTGTGGGACCGGGGGCAGCAGAGGCCCGGCACAGCCAGCCTGATCCCAGCTCACCTTCTCCACGTCCACCAGCTCTGTCTCGTAGATCTCAGCAATGGAGATGTGGTGCTTGGCTGCAATCGTGAATCTGCCCTGGGGACACGGGAAAGGGATGCCTATGACCAGAGACATCGTCCCTGCCCAGTCTCACCCCATCCAGTCCATCACCCTTGGGTTTCCACCTCAGCAAGGGGTCTGACCACAGACACAGAGGTGACATGTGATGGCGTGGACAGCAATGGACTGACTGACAGGAGCAGTGGCCTAGGCGCTGCCTGTCAGGACAGGACAGGATCACTAGAGCCCATGGCGTGGGGGTGTGGGTGTTACTACAGGGATGGACAAGGGGGCAGAGGCACCATGTGAGGGGTGTTGCGGGCTGCAGCAGACAACCCCGTCCTGTAGCCCAGCTCAGCGACCAAACTCCCTGCCTCCTACAACACAGCACAAACAGGACGGAACACCGTGCAACCCTTACCATGTCAGTATAGATCTCGATTGCTCTCATCAGACAGTTAATGGCCTCTAGGGAGGAAAGAGAGGACAGAGAGGTCATTATAGCACATCCTGGAGACAGGAGGTAGCCTGCACTTCCCAAGGGAGATGACGGCACACGGCTGCCTTGGCTTCAGGGCTCTCGGGCTCTCTCAGAGCAACCGGAAGGAAAGGACGGGAGCTTCTGGGTATCTCTGCACACAGAGACACGATGGGCACATCTTCCCAGGGAGGCCCTCTCCCATAGGCAGCCATACGTCCAGCTTTCTAGTGGGATCGGGCCACAGTGGCATTGCCAGATTCCCACAGGGTTTGAATCAGATCAGCACAGCCCTGTTGTCAAAGGGCACGCTGACGGCAGGGCTGAGCTGGGAAGAGGCTCTACCTTGAGTAGGTCCTATCCCTGTGACTGCCCTGACTGGTCTCTCTGGCAGAGAGGGCTGGATGCCATGAGCGCTGGGGCCCCTCCATGGGGGCTCTGCACCCCCAGTGCTGAAGAGCACTGTCCTTTCCTCTGTGCCCCCAAAGGTGTCAGCTGCTGCTGTTCCAATAGCAAGCCGTACCCATCACCAGGATGGCACCAGGCTACCTCTGTTGTACCATCTCTTCCAAGATTTTCAATTTGGGGAAGGCTGGTTTTTTTTTTTTTTTTTTGGACAAGTTATTTGGAGGAGAGGCATGAGTGGGAGGCATTTTCTAGCAGATGGAAACGAGCTCTCAATATCTTTCAACTACTTTAACATCTCTCAGGAAGGGAGTTGGGGGACGGGGTCGAGGGTCTATGTGCTGGGAAGGCTCCAGGACTGTCCCTGGGCTGACGGTGGACTGGACTCTCTTGGGATGAGGATGCTAAGGCTGCTTCCTGAGGGGACTTCAGCAGCTAAGGTCTGTTTGCTCTGGGAACAGCTTGCAAAGTGGTAGGCTGCCGGCTGACACCTGGCCTGCTCTCACCACAGGCCACAGGCCTCAGTGCACCTTGAAGGTAAACAGTAGGGCCCTTAGTCTGTCCCCACCCTGTGCTAAGCCTGCCCAGAGCAGGTAGGGAGTTACAGAGCCCAGCTCACTCTGCATCACCCCGAAGCCCCTGGTCACACGCAGACCTAAGCAAACACCATCCACAACAAACGAGGGACAAAGCGCCAGCTCCAATAAGGAGTTGGGATGGGTGGAAAGACATGTTTGTCTCGTACACAGTCGGCTCCCGGGAGACAACGGGGCGTGTGGTGCGGGGCCCATGCACATTCACGGCAAGCTCCTGCTATAAAAGGGTTAAATTCCCAGGCCTCAGGCAGGCAGCTGAGATTCCTAAAGAGCTGGTTGACCAGACCACCGGGCAGGGGATCTCTCAGGAAGGTCTCTCCTGAAGAAACTGGGTGTCGAGCCTCCACTGGCCATCCAGCTGTTTCCCAGGGCACCCAGCCATGCAGGGAGGCTCTGGAGCCCAGGGCTGCCCTGTTCTGGATGCCAGGGGTTGCTGTGTGTCTCACGGTAGGTGTGTGTTGCCACTGAAGAGGAAACACGGCAGAATGACGAGCTAGGCTGAAGCGCAGTACGCAGCACAAGGCCCCAGTGGGTTCCTTGGGAAGGGGAGCGATCTGCTCGGGCATCCAGGCCTGTCCTCCCCTGCTTGGTCACTCCTCTCTGTGAGCCCTGACTGGCCCCACAGAAGAGCTGTCACCAGTGCAAATGCACTCCCTTCCCCTCATCTGTGGAACTGTGGCTGGGGAGGGCACCGAGGCAGTAGCGCTGGATGTCACAGAGTCCCTAGCCCTTGACATCCGAAGTGCTCCTGTCACACCTTCATTCGCACGCTCGGCTGCAGCCTCCTCAATACACTTTCCTATCAGTTTGTACCAGCTGAGGCTGGGCCCATGCCTGGGTCCACAGGGAGAAAGGGCATGACCCCAGGCTGGGAGGGGCAGTTCTGTTCTAAGAGCTCACAATGCTACGGCACCCTGTAGGCTGGCAGCCACTGCCACCCAGGAACAAGTCCTGCCGGCCACTCCGGATGGAGCAGCAGCTGAAGGGCACAGATGCCAGGCAGCATCTCCAGGCCAACCAGTTCCCCAGGGAGCAGAAGGGAGAGTGTGGGGGAGGGCTGTGTGGGGGAGGGCTGTGTGGGGGAGAGGACTTCCCTGAGTCACCGGCGTGTCTAAGTCCTACCTAGCTGAGAGGCCATCCGTCCCTCTCTGTTTGTCAGGCCTGAGCTCCACATCACAGCTAAACAAACAGGAGTAACCAGTCAGCCCAGGGACAGAGTCAACACAGTCATGTCTCTAATCGGGAGCGGCCCCGTGACAATGACAGATGCTATCCACTGATGCTGGGAGGGCAGCGGTGCTTGTCTCCTCCCCAGAGATGGGCCTTTATCCAGACACTGAGCATCTCCTTTAGGAAAGAATATTCACTTCTTTCCCACTCTCCTGAGAGAAACATCCCAGGTATTTTAAAGATTTATTTATGAATCACAATCTCATGTAGCCCAGGCTGGCCTCAAACTCACTAAGTAGCTAAGCGCTGAGGATGGCTCTGAGTGTCTGATCTTCCTGTGTCTGTCTCCCGAACGCTGGGACGACAGGCATGCACTGCCCTGACTGGCTTAGATGGTTAACTGAAAACAGCAAATACCTGTGCGTGCTGAAATTAAAAGTTAGTAATCTATGTGGCTCTAAAATTGAAAACAAAAAGAACTATTCTAGGGACCGGGGACATGCACAACACATTCTCAGCACACAAGAGGTCCAGGCTCCATCCCTAGCACCACAAAAATAAGTGAACAAAAATAACGAATGCAAATTCCCCAGCCTGGAAATCTCAAGTCTGAGGTCCATGGGCTGTGCTTTGGCCTAACCAGACTCCTGTCCCCGTAGGTTCTGCTTTAAGGAGCTGGGCTCTGGCAACTCACCTGAGGCTTGCTCCCTCTGCTCTCTTCTGGGGTGCGGGGAAGGCAGGTCAGGTTGACTTCCGCTCTACCTGGTTCATCTTGGACCGCCCCGTTCCCTTCTGCATGCTAATTCTGACAACTGAACAGCTTTGCCTGGCAAGCAGTGGGTCTGAGATGGAACTCCCACTCCCAAATGCTCAAAGCCCAGGAGGGGGTGAGGGCTGCACACCAGGGTGGGGGAGGTGGGGATATAGGGCAGTATGCCAGTGCCAGCCAAGGACCAGCCCATTTTGAAGTTGGGGCTTGTTTTGTTCCTGGCCTATCATGTGTCAGGCACTGGAAAAACCCATATCTGTGTAGACCCAAGGATATGGGGACAGTGCTCAGCTGCTCCGCCAGCTGTGGCTCAGAGGTTCTTACCTTGTGGGTCGGCTTTCTTGAAAGCATTGCCTGCGTCCACGAAGCACGTGGCTGCATCATGCTTGCTCTGGAGCTGTAGGTGCAGCTGGGCAGCCTGGCAGAAAGCATTCCCAGCAGCTGGAACAGAAGGCATTGTCCCAGCTTCAATGCAGTTGCAGTCACTGCCCCAAGAGGCACATTAGGCTCACAAGAATACAGCCAGAGTCCCAGGGAGAGGCCAAGGTCAGCCCACTCCAGCCCAAGGGCAGCTGAAACCCTCACAGAGCTCCCCGGTGCTGCACCTGGCAGAATGAGGACATCAGGAAGCTGCCTCGGGGGAAGCCTGAGCCCAGGGGCACAGAAACAGCCCAGGGAAGCCCAGTGCCAATCCCGTGTCCTCCCCGTGCCCCGCCTCTGCTGGCACCTCCAGAGCCACCACTTCCACAGAGAGGAAGGAAAGGCAGGCAGAGCTAAGGACTGCAAATACACGACACCCAGGCTCTTGGGCTTGGAGCTCTCCCTCAGAATCTGAACTGAAGATGGAGATGGAGCAGGGCGGGGGTGCCCCGGGAGGGTAGAGAGATTAACTCATGGGACATTTCCCACTTGCTCCCTTCCCTAGTCCTGCTATGTATGCATGAGTCCTTGCGGAGACAGGGAAACAGGATGTGGACAGCAAGAGCCAGTGTCCACGCAGACAGTGCTAACGCCTGAGGCCCAGGCCAGCCTGTGCTTGGTCAACAGCCACAGGCCCCACACCGTTGCTCACACACTGCCTAGACTGGCTAAGGGGAGGCAGAAGGGTCTTCCCTGCTGTGGGCGGTGCTCCAATACCACCTCAGCTAAGGTACAGCCTTGCACGCTCCTCCAGCTGTGGGAGGACCACCTTGTCCTCTCTCCTGAGCACCACAGGACACACAAAGCCTGTGAAGGCTTTGCTCCGCCATTATCTGACAATTGTGATCCCTTTGTGGGCCTGGGATCGAAACCACCGCCACCTCACAAATGCCAGGCTAACGTGGTCACATCATCAGTAACCGTAACAGCGTCCATCATTGTTACAGCAGTGTTTGGCTTTCTGAGACCGGTTCTCTTTTATTGCAGAGTGATCTCAAATTTCCAATGTTGCCTAGGAGAGGCTTGAATTCCTGACCCCCCCGCCCCACCTCTGGAGTGCTGGGACACCATGTTAGACTCCCCCATTATTTTTAAGAACTCCAAACAGTTTGAGCAGGGGACAGATGGCCTAAGACTTCCGTTTCCAACACGGGGAGAGGCAGAAAAGCAACCCGTGGTTAAATAACCATCCTTGGACTTTGGTAACTGCACTCACAGGATGTGGCAATAGCCGAGTCTACCTTGAACTTCTGTACCCCACTGTCACCCCCACCATGTCCAGAAAGCTCCTCCCTGAGCTCCTAAACTGTCTCTTGCTTCAGTCCTTGGACCAACCTTGCTGACAGTGGAAGCCATACTATGAGCTCAGGTGATGGGCTGCCCTAACAGAGCTCATCTGGAGGCCTGGTGGATGCCCTCCCTGCCTCCCTTCCTCAGAAAGACCGCACCTCCCTATACATATGCCCAACTCAGGGGGCACAGCAGCCCGCTGGTCTCATGCTGTGATCCCTGATGCTGGAGAGGGGACTTCAGGGCCGTGCTCTGGGCCTGGCCTGGGGGCTGAGGGCACGCACCGCTCCAGTTCTTGGCCATCTTGAACATGTTCGCCGCTCTGGCATAGATCTCGCATGCTTCTTCTATTTTGGACGAGCCTCTGGGAAGAAGGAAAGGGGAGAGGTAAAGAGGCCATCCAGTCTGCTATCAGAAAGCAAACCCACACTCTGCCCTGTCAGCTGGCAGTCTGCCGGTGGAAGGCTGCTGGGTCCGTCCTGAAGGGAAGTGTGTACTGGAGGCGATGGTGGTGGTGTCTCATGAACTCCCCCTCTCCACAGCCTGACACTGCGGTCTCTGGTGCTTTCTGCCTAAGTGGCAGATGACCACTTGAACCCAGGGAATCTACAGATGCCCGCTCTTCAGGAGGCCGAAAAGCACTCTGGGGGAATCCCCGGGACCCCGATACTGAACCTGTGCTTTGCACATGGCTATGGCTCCAGAAAGACCTCACTACAGAGAGTGTTGTCACACTTCAGAACAAGGAAGATATGGCACATGTCAGCCATACGGAGAAATACTATCACAAGACATAAATATAAAATTAAGAGGGTGAGAAGAAAGAAACACACATTTATATAAACACTGAATATTTCTGGAAAAATATACCCAAACCTAGTAATAGCATTGTTTCCTGAGGCAGAGCCTGCAGAACTGGGGCTGGTGGGGGAGGGTGGCATTCACTGTACGTGTCTGCTCTGCTAGTGTGTTCTGTGCCATCTGCACATTTCATCTCTTTCAGAATTTGTGGTTGGTTATGGAGGCGCACACAGGTAGGATTTGCTCAAGGAGGTGGAGGCAGGAGGATCAGGAGTTTGAGGCCAGCCTGGGCTACACATTTTAAACATTTTAAGCTAGGGCAGTGGTGGCACACGTCTTTAATCCCAGCACTAGGGAGGCAGAGGCAGTCAGATCTCTGTGAGTTCGAGGCCAGCCTGGTCTACAGAGCGAGTTCCAGGATAGCCTCCAAAGCTACAGAGAAACTCTGCCTCGGAAAAAAAGAAAAAGAAAATTTGTATATTTCATTATTTTCACACAGGTCCTAGTGTAGCTCGGGCTCTGGACCTTCTGGCCACCTTCCGTGTGCTGGGATTACAGTCGTACACCCAGGGACAAGCGGTGCTGGGGACAGAACTCGGGACCTTCCTTGTGTGTGCTAGGTAAGTGCTTTCCCAACTCAGCACACCTCCAGCCCCGTGTTTTAATATCAGGCTTTATATTTGGCCCGCAGTCCAGCAATGAAGGACACCACTAGCAATTTATCCTAAGACACAACCAGGAGAGCTGCAAAGGCATTTAGCACAGCCTTCTGAAAATGCAAAACCACCCTCCTACACTCAGACACACAAGTGGAGGGGACATTTCAGTCTGTTTGCTGAGTCAGGGTCTTATATGGGATGGTCCAGACTGGTCTTAAACTTACAGCACACTGGGGAAGGCCACCCTGGACTCCTCATCTCCCAGTGCTAAGTTATGGGCTGGCACCATGACACTGGACTTTGGCCACCGAGCTACCACTGAGCTACATGCCCTGCCCCAGTAGCTTGTAGTAATTTTAAAATAAAGGATACCTCTTTGGGCTTTGCCTTGGATTCTCAACCTCCAAGAGGTTCATATGAACCTCCTCCTTGGCCAGGGGGTAGGGGACTTTCTTAGTAGCTCAAACTCCTGAGTCCTTTCCAAATTCTGTCTTCCAATGAGGTCTAGCCCATGAGGTCTATGACCCAACAACTGTTCAAAACTCTCATCATATACACAGGAGCAGTCAATGAAATTCGACACCCCAGTGTCCACAAATGGATTTCAAACCCCTTCCCACTCTGGGACGGGTTTTGAAAAACAAAAAGGAACATTTCCCATGAAAAGGCACAAGCACCATCCTCAACAACTGCCCTACACTTGGATGATGCCAGGAGCTTGGCTTCTCACACAGCCATGGGGGCCGTGGAGGCCATCCTGTCCTGTTCATGTGTGACCTGACACAGACCACAGCCCTCATCAGTGAAGCATCCCACATGCCTGCACACTTGCTCAGGTGGGTGAGTCTGGACTGGGCCTTTGAACCACTACAATTTGGAGACCCAGTGATTTGGGTGACCAGGCAAGTCCGACCACCGTATGAAGCCAGCAGACGGCTTAAAGGAGGCCTCCTGAATCCAAACAGCATCAAGTGCTTCTTCAGACAGAGTCCACCCTCTGCTGCCCTGGCAGCATGCCCCTCCCCAACATGTTTTCCCACTCCCAGTCATGGTGAGGTCAGAAATGCCCATGTTGTTGTTGTTGGCATACATTAAATCAGGAGGGCCTCCCAGACTCTACAAGTACCGTCTTTGGAATGCTCTCTCTGGATGTGCTAGAGATACAAACCAGGGCCACTGACATCCCCAGCCCCAGGAATATTCACATTCTCTGTCTCTGACAGGGTCTCATGTGTCCCAATTTCTAAGCTAACCTTGACCCTTGTTACGTGATGCAGTGCTCAGGACTGAACTTAAGACCTATGCCCCTGCAATGTTTGTTTTCATATTTATGTGTATGAGTGTTTTGCCTGCATGTGTGTATTGCCCTCACCGGGGTGCCTGGTGCCCAAGGAGATCAGCAGGGGGCATCGGGTACACTGAACTGTAGTTACAGACAGCTGTGAGTCACCATGTGGGTTCTGGGAATCGAACTTGGGTCCTCTGCAAGAGCAGTAAGTGCTCTTTAACTGCATCTCTCCATTCTTTAGAATATTGTCTTAACAGCTTTCCATGCCACTGACCTCCCGAGCTCATCCTTTCTTGGTGGGTAGAACTAAGTTCCATGCAGTCCCAGATGCTCCTGGCAGAGCAGATGTCTGGGGTTATCACGAAGCCTCGGGCGGAGTGGCAATGAGAGCAGTCACCGCTGGCTAGGTTTCATTCAGCTCAGCACAACAGGCAGACTCAGCAAAGTCTGCCAGCTGCCGGCTACAGCTTTCTGATCCCACGCTAAGCTGGGCTGACCCATCTATTGCAGCGAAAGCCAGAGGGATTACTGTCTGCTCTGGCCCCAGGCTGCCTCCTGGTCCTTGCCCTGCCTCTGTGAGGTGACAACAGAAGCTCTCCAGAGTCCCAGCTCTTTTTACACATGGGAGGAAAGTCCCCAGGGGGCAAGTCCACTTGTGTAGTTTACTCAGTAAATCCCGAAGAAGCCACGCACACACTTTTTTAGCTGTGAAACAAGCATCTGAGGATTTGAGGCTAGCTGTTCAGAGGAGGAAGCCTGCTCTCCACGATATCAACACCTTGCTCACAGACACTTGGCGTGAGGGCTGTACCTGATGGGGTGAGGCCAGGGCTCCATCCTCAGTGGCCGAGGAGCCACCCCAGAGGAGGGAGGAGCACAGGAGGTGAGATTCATAGCATGTGCAATGGCTGAGTCAGAAACACGCTTGAGGAGCTGAGGACGGGAAGTGGCCCAGTCGGTTAGGGCAGGGCGTGGTACAACTCGGCTGGAGCAGACAGGACACAGCAGAGTAGAGAAGACCTTGCTCTGACATGAGAGAGAGTGACCAGAAGGCCGATGCTCTCAGATCCACCATCCACGCTGCTCCTCTGCTAGCTCACTGAGGTTTCCCACTCCATCTGGGGGAGCTGTTTCAGCTACCTCTTTACTGTGGCCCAACTAGAACTGCTGACCCCTGAGAGGATGCCCCCTGCATGAGGCACCACAGGCTCACTGCCTCCTGAAGGGCCTGGGTAGCACTGCAGGGTGACAGCTGACAGGCTTCCCCCACTGACCTCCTCCAAGCTGCCGTGGCTGCACTCTTCAGCCCACAGCTCCGTGCCTCCACGGGAAGAGAGAGAGCTGGCTGGGGCTGGCCTGGTGCAGGCTGTCTATAATTACTGCTCAGGTTTGCTCCCCCAAGAGGCGCGGAGGAAGCAGCCTCAGGCCTCCCAGGCACAGCTGCCATACGGAGTGCTCAATGTGCCAGCAAAGTGCAGGCACTGCTGGCAGCTGCCAAGGGCTTCTGCAGGACAGGCTAGGCCTGCCTACCTCCTGCCTCTGTCCTCTGGGCACTTCTGGCTTCCAGAGGCATACCACTTCAGTGTTCCCGCAGCCCCCCAGCGTGTGCCTGAGACTCTCCCTCGGGTCCCTCTGGCAGCCACAGGCACTGGCCCCCAGTTTTCTCCTAAGACTTAAGGCTCGCTGGCCAGAGCATCCAGCCAGGGTACTCAATTTTGACTAAGATGATGGACCCAGGGCCTGCCACAACCACCCATGGCTTCCAGTGTGGCTCTCAACTGCGGATGATGCCGGGAGACCTGTAGGAGTGTGGCCAAGCTGACGCTGCTTGTCCCTTGCTTAGCACCCTAGAGTCCTCTGGAAAATGAGAGGGTGACCAGGAGCATGCTGGCCTCCAGGGTCCACCAGAGAACGGCATGCGCTGAAGAAGGACCCTGCTCCCTGCTGGAGCTGCCAAGCATCCTCTAGGTAAGGGCCCTGTCACTTAGCCAGCGCTCACGGGGTCACACCAACTTGCCACTGTGTCCTCAAGTCCTCTTGGGACCCTCTTACAGACAGTGATGGACAGAAAATGGCTCAGGCACTTTGCTGTGGCTGTGACTTAGTACCCCAGGAACTGCATCTCCTCAGCTGCACAATGGAGACGGAACCTGACCTCAAGACCTGGGAGAAATCTGAGAGAAACACACATACCCAGCAGGTACTCAGGTGGCCACAGAACAGAGGAAACAATCCCCCTCCCAATGGGCACGCTAGAGTGGTTGGTGAAGATGCACCCTTGTCTTCCCTGTCACAGGGACAGGGCTCTGCACCTTGCTGGTGAGGGTGTCACTGTCATCAGACCCCACAGAGCTCAGACTCAAGAATGTTTCCCCACTTCAGCAGCTCAGCGTGGGCTCTGAGGCCTCCCCCCTTCCGGTGAGCTGTGCACGCCTCCTCTGTTTCCAGAGTGGCAGGTCTCCCCTTCCTGCACTAATCTCCCAGTGATAACAGGGCAGTGGCCAATGGCTCTGGGTTTGCACACAGGGAGTCAACCCATGAGGACCACAAACATGCCAAAACCCTATACCTGCTCTCAACATGTCATGGCTCCCCCCTTGTCATTGTCCCCTCAACAGCACAGGGGAGCAGGCAATTCTACCACACTGACGTTGCATAAAGAGGTGAGCTGGGGTGACGCAAAGGGTACAGGAGTGGGGCTGTGTGCAGGTTATGTAAATGCTACACCTCTCATGGAAGGGATCTGAGCAGGTGCCGGGGTCTGTGGGGATGGGGTGGGGGTGGAGGGTGGTTAGGGGAGGACACACTAGGACAACATGGTACTTAACAGCGAGCCTGCCATCCCACAAAACTGCCAGCCCAGGGAATGGTCGCAGATGTCACTCACGCAGCCTGGAAGGCCTCCTTCCTGTGCCCTGACAGGGCCTCACTCGCTGCAGTCCAGAACACCAACATTTGCTTTACTTAAAGAAGAGCTGGGAATGCCCCTGGCCTCTTAGCAACTTGAGCACAGGAGGAACCAGGGAACCCATGTGCAACCAGCCAGCAGAGGCCACACTGTGATTAAGTCAGGAGCTCTGGGTTCCCCCAGAGACCTCACCTGCCCTGAGGACTGGGCAGGAGGTGCCAAGCTTTCAGCTGTGTATCCTGGCAGTGGGTGAGCGCTGTGGTTCCTACTTGGAAGGACACTGGTGTTTCTGCAGATGGCAGGGGAGCCGACACAAAACTGAGCTTGTCCCAGGCTCTACCGAATGCCTGTGGGCCCAGTTGGAGGCACCCTCCCTCCCGAAAAAGGAGGTCTGCTCATTTCCAAAGCTGGCCTCAGACTCCTGGTGCCCTCAGGCAGTTCAAACGGAACCAGCCTGTCAACATGTCATCTTGAGGAACTGGCTGTTTGTAAATAGAACACTCTGCTGCCTCCTCCAGTTTCTCAGCGCCTCCAGCTCAATTTGCGGCAATGATACTAAGAATCACACCGGTGAGCATCTATCTCAGACACACCCAAAGTCCACAGTTCTCACTATGCTCCAAGTCAGCCTGCTTACTCCATAGAAAAACAGCAGGTAGAGGGGTCACTCTGACCTCGTTTCCTAGAGCAAGAAACTCCAACAACACTGGCATCCCACAGGGAAGGGTCTCGTTATAGAGACCAGGCTGGCTTCAAACTTACAGAGATCTGCCAGCCTCTGCTTCCCAAGGGAAGGCTACAGGGAGAAGTAGGGATCAGGACCTGGTCAGTCCCCATGGTGCACTGCAGAGGTGCAGAAATGAGGTAAAGAGTGCCCAGACTCTCAGGCAGGAGCCCATCCATCACCCAGGGAAGGTGCTAAAAAGGCTTTGATCGTAAACTGACTGGTGTTTCAAAGCACCCTAGTGTCCAGCAGCCCAGAAATCCAGAAGAGTGAAGATGATGAGCACCAAGGCCACCACACCCCAGGTGAGGACAGCCTCCATGACCCATGTAGCCCAAGCAGAGGCCACTTAACTTGAGAAGCTGTCACCACTGAGAGTCCCAAGAGCAGAAGCCGCCTTAGGGACCAGCTGAGTGAAGGCCACTTGTCAAATGTTTACCTGGCAGCCACAGCACCAAGAGGAAGGACCAGAGCAGCACCCATCTGGTGGCGAAGTGGTTTCTCTTCAGGTGATCTCGGGGTACATCCAAGCCCCACCCCACCCCTAGTACCAGGGGGCCTTGCTCAATTCCCTACAGTACCTCTCCTCTTCTTCCTGGAGAGACCAGAAGAAACCGGCCTGCTGTCTCAAATGTCTGTAGAGAACTGCTGTGGGACAGCAGCTGCCTAAGGAAGGCAGTTCCCCAGACTAGTCTGTCAACACCCTCCCTGTATGCAGTGTCCACAAGCAGGCATGAGTGTCTGGGCTTCAGGGCCACAGCTCCAGGCTAATGGGGTGCGCTGTGGAACTACACGAGCCAGGTCTGGCGTCCTGGTGCCTCCTCTGACTCCTGTGCTGCCAGACAGATCAAGTTTAGGCTGCCCGCTTTAGCCTTTGCCCAGTTCCACAGTGAGTTTGTGGAGATAAAATAAGGTTAACCGTCTGAGAAGCAGAGTGAGAAACTGCAGACATTATCCACCAACACAGCAACAGGTTTCCCAGATCGCTGTCCCCCCAGAGAGCTGCTGCGGTTCTTTCTAAAGGGTAAAGAGAACCCACTGGGAGAGGCCCCCAGTAAACCCTGCTCACAGGCCTCATCCATCTCCAGCCTCCCCTCCCGGTCTTTCAGTTTAAAGTCACAGTCTGGCTTGGAACTCTGCCTGTACCAACCCTTTGCTCAAGCTTGCCCCTTCTGCTGCTCCCCAAATGAGAGAACCCCCAGATCTCCTCCTGGTCAGCCCCTGGGTGGAAGCCTGTCCTCTAGGAAGCCATCTCTGACCCTGTCCCATCCTTCTGGGCAGAAATTCCTGCCACACCAGACCTTTGTTCCCCCATCCCTGCTGCCTAGACCGCCCTCGCCCTCCTAGGCTCCCATTCACCACCTCTCTCCTTACCAAGAACCTCCCTCGCAGCTTCCTTTCAACTCTGGAACTCTGTGTGAACGATATGCTGGCCCTTACGCCCTATCAGTGGTTGGGAAGTGGTAAACAGGTGGGACTCCCAGCTGTTCCCCTGGGAGCAGCCCAACTATACACTTATCTCTCTGAGCCAAAGAGAGCAGACGCAGAGCCATTAGGAAATCTACTGCTGAAAACTGAGCCCGAGGCACCACCCCAACACCTCGCCTGAACTTCTGCCCTTGTGCAGACTGAAGAAACACACACACACACACACTCACTCATGTGAAATATCATTTGTCTAATTGATCATCAGAACCCGGATGTCTCTGCAGCAGGTATGGATTGCAGGCAGGCACAGGCATTCTGAAAGTTCCTTTGCTAACCATTATCTGGTTTCAAATAACAAAGGTGGTTTCCTCTTCTCCTGCTTTCTTTTGAGTCCTCCACCCAGCTCCTAACAGTCTCTCTCAGAACCCAGGCCTTCTCCCAGCCTTTCCCCGGCTCTCTGACAAGCTCCTCATTCTTCTCCAGTGCTCGCTGCGGAGGCTCCCGACTCTGTGCCCCACCCCACAGCATAGCCTAAGTTTTCCTCAACACCACCAGCCGGGTCCCTTTCCCAGTGTGCCTCTCTGCTCGTTTCTTCAGGAGCCTTGCTTGCTCCTTGTACTGCCCTCTCCCCTCCCCCTCCGTCACCCCAAGGCTCTCCAGTCTCCCCATTAGTCTCTTACACTCCCTGAGTCTGCTTCCTCCTGGCTAGCGACTTTAAGAGCTCTGAGCCCACACCGGACTCGGTTCTGAGCACATTACATAGTTCATACTCACAATAACAACAACAAAAAACTTCTGCGGTTAGTTGTTGATCAATTCGCCCTTTCAGGAAAATACACTCCCCCGAGATAAAGAAGCCTCCAAATCACATGCCAGGCTTGGGCTCTGCGGCTCCTAAGCTAATGTGGCTGAAGAGGGCCAACTTTCATGAGCTGTGTGTGGGTGCCTGCCATCTCCTGGGTGTGTGTGCCGATCCCAAACTTGAGAACCACCCAGCAGGCCTCTACCCTACTCTGGTTCTCTTGGGTGCCTCTCCCACCCATCGCCGTTTCTGTGGCCAAACCATTGTCAGTGTCTATTCACGCCTCTCCCCTCCGGAGGGGGGGGTCGCTGTCTCTCAGGCGGGGCCTCCTTGCCATCAGTCACTTAGCTAGACCCCCACTCACCCTCACACCTCATACTCTGGCTCATCATGCCCAGGGTAGCCCCAGCCTGGCTCCCTTCGGTCTGGTGTCCTCACCCCGGCAATCTGGGCCTCACAGATCCACGGGCACCAGCCTGGGAAAGGCGCGGCCACCTTCAGTGGGTGTCGTCGGCCACAGGGTCCCAGCCAGGGTCTGCAAGGCCGCAGAGGGGCTTCCAGAGTGCAGAGGGCATGCGAGCCCGCTCTCCCCCGCCTCGGGCCCGGCCTCGCCCGCCACTTACCCGAAGAGGCCGGAGAAGAAGGACTGTGAGTTCTTCACCTTGCGCTCCGCTTCAGCCAGCAGTGCCATGGCCTCAGCCTGCTTCCCGGAGGTGTCCATGATGTCGCGCAGCTGCTCGGCTCAGGCCCGACGCAGCCGGCGACTACTTACAGGCCCCGGACACCGCGCAACCCGGCAGCGCTCCGCCCGCTGCGTTGACGTCGCCCAGCCCTGTTATGCCACGTGACCCGTGTGGGCCAACCAGCGGGCTCGCGCCGAGGAGCGCGTCCTTCAGCCACGCCCCCTCCCGCCACAGCACCCCGCCCCTTGACCGGCAACCCGAGCCCTCGCTCGCGACCGACGCCATTAGCTTCCTAAGAGCCCCGCCACGTGACACGACACAAGCCAATCACGATCCCGCCATCCCCCCCGCAGCGCGACCTTTGACTCCCTCCAACCAATCAGCAGACCCCATGGACTGCTTCCGCCACGCCTCTGCGGAACTGGGACACACTAATCAGCTGACCAGTGACGTGATGCTCACGTGACATCTCAAGGGTCACGCTCTGGGGTTGACAGATCCAGCAGTTTAGCTCCACCTCCTGCTTTACCTCACTTCAGTCACTTTGTGGTTTAAAAAAATAAAAAAATTCTTACGCCCTCTGGCGATCGTCTCTGGAATTGGCTTGGGGAATCCAGAAGGTCTCTCTATTCCTAGCTGAGGGGCTGATGAGATGGCTCAGCTGGTAAAGGCACTTGCTGCCAAGTTTAATGACCAAAGTTTGATTCCTAGGACCCACATGGTGAAAGGTGAGCCCTGACTCCTGCAAGTTGTTCTCTAACCTACACACACACACACACACACACACACACACACACACGAGGTTGGGGCATCTTGCCACACACAGAAAGGTGTAAGTATGCCAGGAGGAGTTGGGGAGATGGCTCAGTGGCTCAACCGAAATGCATGAGGTCTGGGTTTGGATGCCTCGATCCATGTAAGAAGCTGGGTATGTCAGCATGTATCTAATGACAGCAGTGCGTGGTGGGAGACAGACATATCCCGGGAGCTTGCTGGCCAGCCAGTCTACACACACACACACACACACACACACACACACACACACACAGAGGGAGGGAGGAAGGAAGAGAGAGGGAGAGAGAGAGGAGAATTTTTAAATAAAGCATGGGCAGTCAGTTAATAGTACTGACAATGGTTCAGTATCTGCAGCAAATACACTATGCTATAGTAAGATGTGGAAATCTTTGGTGCTATGCTAGTTTTCTATAAATCTACAGTTACTCCATGGCCTGGCTCACAGTGTGGTGTGGCGGCACAGGAATCTGTGCTGGAGACAAGAAACGGTAAAAGACAGCTTCCCCTGGCCCTCTCCCACTGAACATTTGTCTGAATGTCCCTGTGCTCACTGCTGTATTCTGACCACAGAGCTGGTGAGTCTGGATGGCATAGTCCGCTATGGTTCCCATTGCATTTGCTGCAAGGCATCATCTTTTTAGAGCAACGGCTATGCAGCAATAGATCCTCAACCCGTAAGGCCAGACTTGAATTTGCACTCATGGAGTTGGGTCACTCAAGGCAGAGCGGTGGAGTGCTCGCTACGTGGCAATGCTCAGGTCACTGGGAAGCCCCACCAAGCAAAGTGCATTTCCTCATTTACCAGCTACACACACTGGGGAAACATGTTCAAGCAGGAAGTCAGTTTGCAGATACTAGGAAGGAAGACAGTCCTGGTTCCTGGGCTGCCCTGCAAATCCCCTCCCCCACAAACAGGGCTGTCACCAGCTCCAACATCGGTTTCCTCACTGCCTTTCCTCTTTAGCTGAGATGTGGTCCCTTGGTGAGACCTTCTCTGTAGTGCTGGGATGGGTGGGGCCCTGGGACAAAGGAGGTGAGGCAGGGCTCTTCTCAGTCCTTTTGCAAGTTGGGATGGGGCAGAGGTTCCTGTTCTTACATGGGCTGCAGTCAAGGTGCCATTCTGCCTGCTGCCTGGGCCCTTCTTCATGTCAGGTTGAACAGCTACACCCACGACGTTTTTTCTGGCTGCAGTGTAACCAAGCCTTCTGTTACCGTGGCCAGGCAGGCCTCTTGTCACCACCTCCTCACCGCTGTGCTCACTCACAGCGGCTACAAGTCCTCTCCTAAAGGGAAGCTCTACGAGGAAGGGGCTTTTGCTTCTCTGTGTGCGCCCGTCTGCAGCCTGGGAACCGCTGCTGTGCCTACCTTCTCTCCTCTCCTTGCTCACCCCCCTGGCCCCAGATGTGGCCCTGAAGCTTCTGCAGAGCACACAGGCTGAGCAGTTGGAAAACATCTGTTTAAGAACCCAATTTAATAAGATACAAGCAGACACATAAAAAACACACCTAACAATATACAGTCATTGCAAGACTAGGGATGGTGGGAATGCAGGGAGGCCCCAGCTCACTGGATCTCAGGTGCCCTCACTGATTCTCTCTAATCAATGTCAGTCCCATGACTACAGCTCAGATCTAAAAGTCACCTAGACCAAACCTTCTGCCTCCCAGGGTCCCCTGCTCCAAGTGAATGGGACTGCAAATAAGCAACTATTAACCAGGAGAGAATGGAGCCTCTGGTCACCCACACAACTTCAGAGCTACCTGTGACAGCTTCTGCCTGTTCATGTCCGAATGCCAGCCAAGCTTGCTGGCGAAGCTGGACATTGAGAGGAGAGAGGGTAAGTGTGCCCCAAACACTTTTGAGAGGCCCAGGGCACTGGCTCAGGGCTGGATCTCCCCTCCTTGCAAACCAGCTTCCAGCAAGGAGTCACCACTGCAGGGGGCCCATGTCAGCCCCCAGTTCCTCCTCTTCCTCCTCCTCTTCCTCCTTCAGTGGGTAGGGCTTCACAGGCCACTTCACCCTGACGGGTTCCACGTGCTCCTGGAGGCGGTGGCGCTTCATGTGGGCATTCCGACTCTTGATCTTGTCGAACACTCTGGGAAGTCACAAAGATGTGGGTCAGAGCCAGAGGAGCTTGGGAGGCCAGTCAAGCAAAAGTGTGGAGGTCAGAGGGGAGGCTGATACCTTTCACACTCTCTGCAGGGGAACACACCCTGGCTCTCCACACTCCCTGGAGGCTCAGGGGTACGCTTGGGGGCTGCACTTGGGCTGGAGTGAAGGATAGACTCCCTCCTGTAACTCTTGGTCTTTATCTTTAACTCAGGAGTTGGACGATGGGTGGGTCTCTCTCGAGGGCTACAAGTGACCTGCAGAAGGGGTAAAGATGACTTAAGACACCAGTGTGGAAACATGTGCTCTGCAGGGAGACCTTCCCTTGGGAGCCTCCACCACCCTCTGGCTGGACCACAGATGCACCCAGGCCACTCCTTCATGCATCCTCTACCTTGTCTTCAGTCCTTTCTACCTCATCCAGCTCTCTCCTGCCCCTCTTCTCCAGTCCAGGAGCTCGGCCACAGTCAAACTTGACCATCTTTTTCCAAATGTAGTAGTATTCAACGCACTGTGCTACACTCTTAGTCTGGATCTAGCGGGAAGGAAGACACAGAAACAGGCTGTGGGCAGTACCTCACATGTGAACTCCACCCTAGAAATTCCTTCCCCAACACCTCTGCCCATGGCTGGGCAAAGTCCTTCCAGGTGGTGAAGGGTCCAAAATGAAGCCACCAGCACTAAGTGCAGCATGCTTCTTCCCTGCAGAAAGACACACAAAGACCCACAAGTGAGGAGGCCCACTGTGGCATTACAGCAGGCAACAGGCACACTTAGTGAGACTGGGACCAACACAGAATGCCCTTCCTCTGTGGTGAATACACAGCCATCACAACTAAGCCTCAGAAGCCCTCTGGGGAAAGTGGCCATGTGAGAAGGACAGCTCTGAGTGCAATACTCAGGCCCAGCCACTTGCTCTTGTAAAAATATGACCCCTGTACTGAATGTGGTGGTGCATGTCTTTAATCTCTGGAAGAAGAGGCAACATTCTCTCTGAGCATATCAGGACAGGCTGGACTACATAGTGAGTTCCAGACCAGCCAGGGCTATGTAGAGTGACCCTGTCTCAACAAACAAACATGACTTCTGGAGCCAGGTACAGCGAGTGATATTGAACTGTAATCCCAGAGCTCAGCAGCCTGAGCAGGAGGACTGAAGAGTCTGAGGCCAGTCTGGGCTACACAGTGATGCCTTATCTCAAGAAAGAAAGAGCCTCTGAAAACAAACAAACAAACAAACAGAACAGAGAGCTGGAGGTGGAACCTAGTGGTAGAGAGATTGCTTACTATGAAGGAGGATGTGGGTTCCATTCCCAGCACCAAGAAGAAGGAAAGGAAGGGAAAACTGAGTTGCCCAGAAGGAAACTTTCCCAGGAAATTAACTGGCGAATGAGTGCCAGAACCCACTTTCTCCACATGAATATGAAACTGCTTGTGTGTTGTTGAAAACTAGAGTCAAGGCAGCATGTCTTCTGTTTAGGAAACAGTACCAAGTTAAAAAGAAAAGGAAGCAGTCTTCTGTTCTGAACAAGATAGAGCATCAGAAGCAAATTCACCTTCCAGCCAAAAAAACAATGAAACAGTGCTGGGAAGGACAATGACCTCTGAAGACTCTGCACAGGTCGCTCACAACAGCTTTATTTTATAATCCATCAACCTGGAGATCACTCAAATGTCCATCAACTGATAAATGACTAAATACAACTGTGGTACATCCATGCAGTAGAATACTATTCAGCAGCAGAAAGGATGAACTATTAATAATTGCAACACAAACGAACTTCAAAGTAAGTAAGTATGCTGAGTATAAGCAGCTAGTTGAAGCTTGGAACACATGCTGTTTGACTGCCCTAGTGATACAAAACTCTAGAAACTGCAAACTTTCTTACAGACCAGGCTGACCAAGGACATGGGGAGAGGCGCAATGGCATGATAAGGAAGAGGTAATGGGCATTGCAGAAAAGTTCGCTGTCTTGCCTGTGGTGACAGTCCCATGGGTGCATACATATGTAAAACATACTCAGCCTTGAACCTTATTTATGTGTAGTTTTTTTGTTTTGTTTTTTGTTTTTTGAGACAGGGTTTCTCTGTATTGTTTTGGAGGCTGCCCTGGAACTAGCTCTGTAGAGCGGGCTGGCCTCGAACTCACAGGGATCCGCCTGCCTCTGCCTTCTGAGTGCTGGGATTAAAGGCGTGCGCCACCAAAGCCCGGCCCTTATGTGTAGTTTTATAT